CCTTGAAATAATTATTTCAAGGGAACAAGACTGCATGACCCAGAAAGGTCGAAAAACGAGCGTGTCTAATCTCTGTCGATCTTTCTAAAGCATTAAGAGTCAAACTAGGGAATTCCCTGAGCAGTTTAGGACATTCTGTGCCAATATATGTGTGAATTTATGAAAACTGGAGTCTTAAAGACTGCACCAAAATAGCGGGGATGTTTTTGGAAAATCGGTTAGATATGCATACATCATATATTTCAAAGGGTCGAAGTACAGGCATCACCGTACCACGCTCACATGGATCTTTACATGGATCTCAATAGTTACGAATAACCAAAGGACGGCCAAGGTAAGAGAGTTAATTCCCATATAGGCCTTAGACCCAAGTTAATCCCTCTTAAGTTATTTTTAGACAAGCGACAAGCGACTCTGCAAACTAACTTAGGGAGATAAAAATGGCGGGAAATGTGGCCAACAGTCCTTTTTTACGTTTCAACGTTTCTCAGCACAGAGTTTTTCTGCACTCTTGGCCGTCTTTTTGTTGGACCGAGCTTTCGTTGGCTTTGTGATCTTCTGTCTTTTCATTACCGGGCTCGGCCGTTTATATATTTTTTGGTTGTTTTTATTGTTTGGGCTCAGGAAATCTGGCTCTTACGGTAATTAAACTCGTATAACAAGCTTCTAGGTTGTTATACCAAGCTTCTATAGCTTCTCTGCTTCTTCCAATATTTTAATACTTTATTTATTTATTTATTTTAATAGCAAAAAAGAAAAAGAAAAAAATCCTGCCACAGCGTTGGAGGTTTTCCTTCGTTAAAAAAAAAAAAAAAAAATCCACCGATCACGCGAGCATCCTCTGCAGAACATCTGGTTTTAATGTATAAAAAAAAGTTAATAAGGATTACCTCGGGTGAAAGCGCTTTTCTCCATTTGCTATATCTTGTGATTCGTAAATAAGTTCTGTTATTTGCTTCTTGAATGCTAAGAAAGACCATGCAATTGCGTGTTTTCAATCAATCGATAGATAGAATCTAATACGTGGCGTGCACCTTGGATGGCTGGAAAAAAAAAGGAAACTTGTCTGTCGTAATTTTATACGGTTGCTGGCGTCATTGACAATCTTGCGAGAAAACAGAAGGTCTACATAGCGGTGGTAACCTCGCGTAAAGCCAAAAATGTTATCCAAAGCAACTTATCCCGTGCTTCGATGATAGAATTTTTTTTTTTTTGGTTAAAAATAAATTACCATCAAAAAATAACTCAAAGAGAAACACATAATATAACGTTTGTGTGGGTGTGCAATTTGATTGTGTTTCTAGCACCCTAAAAAAAAGCGCTGATACTTAGCTGCTTTTTACACGGCTAGCCGTGCTGATCAATTAATGTCATGGTGGTATAGCATGACAATTGACCTGTGAGCCTATTTTCACCATGTAGATGAGCAGAGATAAGATAACACTTCAATCTATACATGAATATATTATTTTACCCTGTCTTCAGAACTCTAATACGTACATGTATAAAATGAAGTTGGCCTTGGCTGCCTTGAGTCTCCTTCTTTCGAACTACATGGAGTCAGCCGAGACAAGTAAGTTTTAAAGTTCAGCTGTATAGCTGTTTACTTGATGGATGTATACTTTGTATCGCGTATCATTCTTTCTTGGTGTACTGGTAAACAAATGAATAACCATCGTACTTCCTTACTGTCCGAGTCTCTCTTGAGCGTAATCATGGTATATTGTTGGCTCTTTTATATCACTTCTTTTTGCACTGGTATACAAACAGACAAAAAGCTATCAAAGATTTTTCTGAGGTTTCAGTTAAATTTTGAAAATTTTGATGCCATACAGACAAAGTGGCGGTGCCATTCGATCGCCGGGAAGTGTAGGTTTGAAAACATATTGAAACAGTTAGTCAAATACCGGCGACCAAGTAATTAACTGTTAAAAGCTGAAAATTCCTCTCCCGAGTTCGCATATTGTAAATACTTGCACGAAGGCGATATTAAAAAAAAAAAAGAAAAAAAAAAAAAAAAAAAAANGGTTGAGAATTCTTAGCCTTTATTAGCGTTAAACTGAATTGTTCTTCCTCTTCTTCTTCTTCTTCTTCTTCTTCTTCTTCTTCTTCTTCTTCAGTCTTCTTCTTTCTCTTTCTCTTCAAAACTATTTGTTTAGTATTGACGCATTTTTGCTGACTCCCTAACATTTCTAAAAATACAAAGATCCAAGATGGTGGATTCAAAATGGTGGTTGTTTGAATAGCTCCACATAATTACCTTGTGATATGAAGTCATCGTCCTGAAAAGACTAATTTTTAAGTTATTCTTAGGTTTTGTAGTTTCTTTTTAGATAGCTTTCCTTTGTCAGTAAAGGGTTATTCCTCTGCTAAAGCAGCTGAAACCTTATTGCAAGTTATTGCTGTTATTATTACTATTGTTATTATTATCGTAAATATAACAAAAGTCTCGATCGTGATTGGCTCTCCGCACGCCTACTTGTCACGTGATCGGCGCGCGATCACGAGGATGTCAAATTACAGGTATCCAACTGGAACTTTTTGTAACTGGATACCTGTAATTGGATATCCACGTGATTCGCAAGTCAATTACGCGCGCTTTAATGGCTTCTTTCGCAATGTTTCGCAGAGTTTTCAAAACTTATGAAAAGCGCCACAGACGTTTTCGCTAAACAGAAGTTCTTAACAAACATTTTTAATTCCGAAAATAGATACGATTAATTAGTAATTGGACCTCGTGCCGTACAATTCAATGAGTAATCGTGTTCGTAATTTAGAACTGTTTACAAGGCGAGAGGGTTTCGCGCTCGCGCGATTACTCCCTGTATTGTACTCCACTCGGTCGGGTTACTACTACTTATTATTGTTATTATTATTGTTATTATTATTATTATTATTATTATTATTATTATTATTATTATTATTGCTATTATTATTGTAATGATTGTTATTATTCTTATCAATATTACTATTATTAATAACGACCTCGACACAGTTTTTCACTATACGGACCTCCTAGCCGGCCAATAACATATATCTAACCGAATTCCCAAAATCATGCCCGCATTGACTCAAAGACAGTCCCAGCGGCCAGAAGTCCTCTGACCACCCCTTCTGGCTAGGAGATTGGCCCCTCACGCATGCATGTGGCATAGAACACTCCAGCAGGGTGCCTTGTCAACACAGAAGCCTCAAAAAAGGTCAAACAACTGAGCAAAATACCCAGAAACACAGTCAATATCAAGCTTATTTAACACTGAAAACTCAAATTCTAACTAGTTGGGGGTGTCAGTAAAAGACACCCCCCCCTGCTTTTGACAGCTGGCCCCCAGCAAGCCACCAGCAGATAGGCTAGTCATTGGGCCATGTGCCTAGCCTAGCCTTGACGGAGCCCNCCCCCCCCCCCTGGGTTTAAGGTCGCTGGCTTAGCCTGGATTCAAGCTTCGCCTGAATCCAGGCGAAAACCTAGCATGTATGGAGTAAAATCTCTTAAGTAACCAGTTTAATATCGTATAGGAAAATGCTTAAATTCTCTAGCTTCCAAGACGTGCAGTTACTTTCTTGTTCTTATGCATTGTTTATTTCATCTTACAGTTGAAGATTTGGTTGTCAAGTATTACGACAAGAATATCAGCACAATTGACCTCCTTAAAAGACTAAACGTGAGTTACTCGCGTTTTGATATGCAAGAAATTAAACGTTGTTTGTTAAGTTATTCGTGCGAAAAAGTATGCCCTTTAGATAACGAAGACAAAGAAAGAATGGAGAAGAAGATGTGTTACTGTGACAAGTTATGTGTTGAGCTTGGTGACTGCTGTTTTGACTACTTCCTAAGGTTAGTGCCTTAAATTCTCTTTCCAAATGGGGTACACATTCCTTATATTTTGGATAACAAATGTCTATTTTTTAAAAAAATGTGACTTACCCATGAGGTTAATGAAGTTTTTCCACCGAGATTGCTAAGCCTCATTTAAACGTTTACTGCTTCAATATTAATATAGGGCTGTAGATCTGCACGACGCTGACGATGTAAGAACCTGGAGAACAATCTGTCCCAGGTGACACATAGTGAGGTCTCTTCTGTGCCCGCCGTCCTGGTGTTTGTAGCAATTTGAACTTTTGTTTTGTTTCCTTTTGATTCTTTGAATAGCTGATTGAGTAGCTTAAATTTAATTCTTATGAGTACCCTGGATCCACTGTAATTGGTTACGCTGTAGAGGTCTCCCTGCCTAATGAATTTTGTTGTATATGAGTTAAGTATTTTAGTTAGGCGAATTTAAATAAAAAATAAAAAATAAATAAATAAATAAATAAATGAATAAAATAAATAAATAAGTAGCGATGACGCATTCTCTTTGAGCAATGTTAGTGCGACACTTTTTCTCTTTAAGAACATTGCCTGCGGGAGTTACCGAACTTTGTTTAGTCTGCCTACATTTAGCTGCCCAAAGTACTTAGCGACAGAGCAATTCAACTGAAATTGACTACATTCCTTCAAAAGTCAAATTTTAATGCAATGGTGTCGATTGCAATTTTTAAACCAATTACAGATTAGAAAATTCAAGCAAGCACCACAAATCACGAAAACATCTTCCCGGTGGGAACAGGCAAAAAAATTCTAAGTAATTTGAGACTCATGGAAAAAAATGTTGTCAAGAATGCGCCCGAATGAACGTACGTCGACGCCCGCCACTGTACAGACACCTGTATAATTGTGTTGCTACGCAGGAAGAGGACATCGACATTTATATCCTGTGGATAGTGTTGATCATCAAAGGTTAAAATAACCTATATATCATTTTCTTTTAATCCACGTCTTTATTAAATTACACGAGTATTAGAGATTTGTTTTACGCCAGTTCAAGAGGGCGTCAGCCTGGATGGGCTGTACATTGACCACCTGACTCGGGGGAGAAATGGGTGGTGATTAAAAATGCCCCATTACGAGGGCGTTATATCCATCTTGAATTATATACCTCGCTACCCGCTCATAATCTTACCTATCTACCTTTACTACCCTATCTACCTTTACTACCCACTTACCTACGCAACCACCCAACCTCTGGCTGATTGATTGACTCGGAACGACTCGGTTAGTCCAGATTTTGTAATTTCGTAACTAATGAAAACTGTTGCTATTGTTTTCTGAAGATGTAGCGCTGCCAACACGTATCAATCTCAGCTTCCTAAACGAACCTGTGTAAAGCAGTTCAATTTAGATAAATATGGCTACGCCATGGTTAGCAGCTGTCCAGCACACAACACCGACAAGAATCTAGAATCCTTGTGTACTGCCAGATCTACTAAAGCTGACCTCTTTGGAATGCTGCCCGTGTCAGACTTAGAGAATATGACAACATACAAGAATGTATTCTGCGCCATTTGCAATGAAGCCATAAATCTGACGTACTGGAAGTTTTCCGCATCATGCGCAGGTTTCAGTTCTCATGACATTCCAACAAACAGATCGCAGATATTAGAGGTTATAATGACGGAATGTAAATGGTACTTTGAGCCGCTCCGTGTTCAGAATGAAAAAGTATGCCTAGCTTTAGAGCACAATTGTCCAGACTCAGAACTTGTTGATGAGGAACCGCTACTACGAGATTTGTGTTCATTTTACGTCGTTCCTGTCTGTCCATATACTCACACAGAGAACCCGCATTGTGATATTTGCAAAGGGACAGAAATAAGTGGGTATTCATGTATGGAAAAATTACCAGAAAAAGGACCCCCAGGCGTTATACCTTCGTTGAATATCTTGTTTGGTTTTTCGTCTTCTTCTCATTCGCTTCAAGTGGGAGATACGAAGACTGTTGTCAGGAACAAAGTGTGTGCCAAGGGTTTCGTTTTTGACCCCTTCAATGAAAAATGTGTGCAAATTTATTCCCCCATGTCGGACCCCGAAATGGATTTGGCGAACATCAGTGGCTCAAAAAACAGATCGAATATCAAGGTTTTACCGGAAGGAACTTATATGAATTGTTCCTATGTCAAGATGAACATCAGTTCAGTAACTCTTCTGGCTAACGGTTCGATATGGATTCCTTCACACAAAAGAATATACAACGAAGAAAGGTACACCATTAATGGCTCTTCACTGCTCCTTTGTGCAGACTTCAGACAGTTTTACACTGTAACCGAGGCCCTTGTGTCTACGAAGATATTACCGCTTCAGATAATTACATACATTGGCTGTGCCATCTCCATGATATCTTTAATTTCTCTCCTGGGTATCTACATTGCTCTGCCAGAACTCAGAACATTACCTGGGAAGAACCTCATCAGTCTGTCATGTGCAATGCTTCTGTATCATATTTTCTTCTTGATGACCGGACAGACGAACAAGCCAAAACTTTGTATGGCTGTTTCCGTCCTGCTTCATTTCTTTTTGCTGTCTTCATTTTGCTGGATGGGCGTGATGGCTTTTGATGTTAAAAAGACTTTTGGAGCAAAAGGTAACTGACTTCATTGCATTTCAGTAGTTTACAAGACACAACGCGTCATCAATAAAAGTAAATTCTTTCGCGTTGCTTATTGAAAACGGGCCTAATGACGCTCTGACGTCAACACGAAATATATGTATATATATATATATATATATATATATATATATATATATATATATATAAAATAACGAAAAAGAAAAGAAAAATTGGAATTAGATTATAGTTAAGGAAAAGAAAGCCGTCTATAGGTATGGCAAGAGAATTATTCTTAACTTCCTCGAAATTGTTTGTTAACTTTTCATTTTTTGTTTCATCAAACGCCTGTAGGACAAACCCGATCTGGTCATGATGACAACAGGAAAGCCTTAGTAAAATACAGTCTCTTTGCCTGGATTACCCCCGCTGTTATTGTGATCACTAGTGTGACTCTCGATAAAACACAAACTGTTATCATCGGATACGGTGAGTTGAATATTATACACTTAATATATGGTCCCGAAGAAAACAGGTAGTTTTGTTTTCCCGAGAGTCCTGATGTTTCCCTCGACTTCGTCTCAGGAAACATCAGGACTCGAGGGAAAACAAAACTAACTATTTTCCCAAGGCACCATACATTAAGTGCTTTGTTATATATTTAGAGTTTCCCCTAAGCAATCATATAGCAAAAACAAACAAACAAAGACGGCACAACTTCTTTATTCACAATCGTCAATCCTGCTGAATGAATAAGTCTTAGCTTAATTACAAATGTTTCGAAGTACATGAAAAAGTAAAATATGCCTTTATAACCTCAATAGCGAATATATGATCATTTGGAATTGTAAAAATTGATGGTAAAATTTGCTCCAGAAAATGCTCCTGCGTTAAAGCTTCCTCTCTCCTGGCTATGAGATGCAAAATCCTGCATAGTTAAAGGGAAGCTTGGCACTGTTTCTGCTAAGAGAATTTTCACTTGTTTGCTCATGCATCACCACAATTGCATTGCTACTTGACTCAAGATTTTCAACAGAACAGGCACTACTGAGAGCATGGGAGATTTCTTTCTGCTTAACCTCCGAAAGACGCCTGAAGTAAGAGCGAACGCTGCCCTCATATTACTGTCCCGAAACATGCATTATAGGCGCGCCTCAAAATTGCACTCATCCAAGAGCGACACGATCGTTGCCCTAATACAGTGATTAGTATGCTTTTGGGAAAGTTTCAGCTCTTTAAAAATTGAAGTCATGAAAGTTCTTAGCGTATTTTTCCCGAGGGACGCGGTACAATACCAGACTTCATAAGAATGGCTAAAATGTTCCGTCGCTTGCGGCCTTTGCCACAAGCATGACATTGCTGGATTTCGCTTAGAGAGATAAAGTTCAAGAGTTTGAAAAAAAAGAAAAAAAAATTTTCCCAGCTGCGTTAACCTGCGCGGCGAACGATTCTTTTGTGAGGAGTCGGAGATTTTCTCTGCCGCGACGAATGAGGTGGAACATTACATTAAACCACATCACTTGTTGAGGGATTCAGGATCTGGAGAAGATGGGTTGTAGGAGAATTGGATCTTTCCTAGGTCTTCATTTGATATTGGGCTGTGGTGATCAACTTTGCCAAATCCTTGCCGCTTCGACTCGACAATTGCAGCCTCAAAATTTTGATTTGATTTGGAGAATTCGCCATCACTTATTATGTCAAATTCTCTTTTTAGGAGAAAGTGTCTTTGAAGACCAAATCGTATTCCCATCAAAGCAGACTTTTTGTAGCTGTCTCCGTTCTTTTTCTTTGCGGTCAGCCAGAAATTCGCTAGAAGTTTATTCAGTTTCTTCTTCGGAATTTTTCCTAGCGATTCTGTATGTTTTTACCTGCTCATCTTATGGTTTAACTTCGTTCCAGTATGCCAGGAATGTAACAATAGCGTTCTTAGTTGCTTTTCTCGTATTTTCGGAATCTTTGCCTTCAATTAAGTTCTGTATTTCTTCCCCTGATAATCTATAAAAGCGTTTTCTTTTAGCCTCACTGGGTTCCATATCGATCATCGTTGGTTGAAACTGAAAACTGGCACTGTTCTCAGGTCCGGCCCCGTCAATCAAGCTGACGTGAGCACGTGCTGAGGATTACGCCATTTTTAACTTAGTCATGCACTGATCACGTGCTGTTGTATTCGGCGCGCGGGCACCAACTGCGCAATTGTATCCAGGTCGGGATACATTTGAATTTGATCAGGGGCACGTGACCCAGAATCAACCAATCACAGTGCTCGTTTTGTTGAGTAAAATTCTAGATATGTAACAATCAACAATTATTCAATGAGGACGCGTTGGATATGAGATGGTAAAAAGCCAACGCTGAGGGCCGAGTTGTCTATAACCAATCTCACATCCAACATGCGCGAATTGATTAATTGTGTTATTGAATTCGGTACGCTTGCATACTTGGAAATTATAGCTCAGTTTTATTGGATTTTAAAACTGCAAAACGACCGAAAGTTGTTGTGCCAAAAACAGCAACAAGTGGAAAATCCCATGACATGCGCGCGGAACGTCTATCGAATGAACTCGGGAGATACAACCATGGTCTGAAAGTTTGAAAAGCGTTCAAGTTCGAGTCATCGAAAAGAGTAATAATTGTGCACTTGCATATTGCAGTTGTGCAATCCTGGGCAAAACTTTCATCGCCATGTGACAGACTTTGTGCTAAAATTATTCTCGACAGGAACTCTTTCAGTGCCCCCTTGCTTTGAAATCCTTCTCATCTTAAGCTAGATGTGCGGAGCTCATCCAGAATCAGGAACAGAAACTATCTTAGGGTCGGATTCATCTTCAGAATCTCCGAGGCCAACCTGATGGTTTCTCGTGGCTGGTAATGAACCGGGCTGACTTCGGTTCAGCTCAAAACACTTATCTTCCTTGAGGGGTTTTATCGCACGGACCGAATTGTTGGCGCTAACTTGCGTTGCTTCTCTCGTCCTCTTCTGCCAAAAAAGAGACCGAGGTAAAACCAGGTCGTCACTCTGTAGCTGTGCGGGATTTTTGCCCTTCGCCGGTCCGAGCTTGCCGATGTTGAGCAGTTTCTTCATCAGCTCATTGGAAATCGGTCAATTGCGGTTCTTATGGATTTCATCCATGAACTTTGTAAACTTGCAATCTTTCTTCCTCGCAGTCGTTTAAAAACTCTTCAAAAAAACATCCAGTTCTACTTTCGACATTTCTTTTATCGGTTTCGAAAATTTTGTGCCACTAGGACTAAAAGCCATTCAGTAACATTAGGTAAAAATTGTTGTTGTTACGTAATCTTCATGATTGCGTAAAATTTCGACGTTCATATTTGAAATTTTGCAACTTTTAAGAGAAACTAAACGGATACGTACAGTTGAATAATCTCGTCCCGAACTTTGTAGCTTTATTGTTGTTACTGGGACGGCATTGTCCGTAATTTCTTCTGTGGATAGCGCACCTAATCTTTTTTTTTTTTTTAATCCATTTTTTTTGTTGTTGACGAAACCGGGCCTCTCGCAAAAACTTTTATGCCGAGCGACATTTGCTGCAATCATTTCCATATAAGGTCAAACGCAGGTATAATGGCTTGTAACCAATCAGAAAGCTAGAATTGCAATATCTGAGGTTGAGAATTTAATGACAATCGATATATGATGAAGTGAGATATTAAAAACAACAACAACAACAACAAAATACTGTGACTAAGAGCGCAAAACCAGAACCACCTACAGATACGAGGTGGCAAAGATAGTGATAAAATGTTTAGGTTAAAGTCTTCGAAGGATGTAGGGTTTAAGAACTCGTCTCAACATTACTGGCTTTTCCTTGAATGAAGTACGCACATGTAAATTTAATTTGTGGTGTGGAAAATGAAGTATAATCCACTCTAGGTGCCGTGTATACCAGTTAACAGCCGCATAAATTTGCCCCCGAACATATCCATAGTTTGAAGCTGACGTTTTCTTTTTTTTTTTCAACCCTGCTAGCTGAAGTATTCTGTTGGATTTCTAATGGAAGGGCACTTCTATTGGTTTTTGGCGTTCCTGTGGTAATCATTCTGGTCTTTAACGTCGTGGCTCTCACTTTGACGATGATTTCAATTTGGAAAATACGAAAGGTATTATTTGATTTTTTTTTTTTCCTTTTTTTTCTGAGAATGAATGGATATTGGTTAGATTATTAGTTAGATTACCTCTCTTAATTCCATTAAGCGACAGCGAAATGGCATGATTAACCTAAATTAAATTTGTCATTAAAAGCTACAACGAAATGCCTAATGATTTTGATCTAATTCTCTTATCCAGTTTTTCTCCAGTAGTTTTCTTGTAGTTGCCGCAAATGATAAATTTACCAGACATTATTAATTTTTTTGTTTGCAAATTAACTTTAAAATTCATCCATGCTGATACTAACTTTGGCAAATAGTCCAGTATTAAATACTTCCTTGCTTACACCGATACTTCTGAATTTTGAATTCACCAATCAGCATTCAGAACGCGGGAGAAACTGCACTGTCCTAAGTTCAGGGGCTTGCTCACAAGAACGACAGTCAAGTCGGGCCAATATTTTTTACTGAAAACCGCAATATTCACGACAATCGATTGAAGATACCAGAAACCATAACAGATTTAAACAAATGGAAATGATGAAAAAAAAAAATTGTTCTTCATCAAATTGGACTCAGAGTACACAAGAAAAGTATTAGAAATGGCCAAAAGAACTTATTGTCGTCATTTTGGCTAGCTACGAAAGAATTCCTTTATCGTGTCTTTTAGTATGGACAGTACTGTTTCGAATGCAGCTCGTACAGCAAGCCCGTGCACCGTATTCGAGTTATTCTGTGGTGATGTAATTTTGTGCGAAGTGGAGCAAATTACTTGGCATTAATCGTGTCTGTAATCAAGAGAAGATCAAGCTAAGTATCTTAATCTTCTCTTGTTGTTAATTATTCTTCCGTCAAACAGTCCACTCGTCGCGTGGCAGATCAGAGTAACCAGACCAGCCTGCCTATCCTGTACATCAAGCTGTCGTCGGCAATGGGATTTACCTGGATACTGGGTTTCATCGAGCCATTCACTCAAGTTGAATTTCTTGCTTATCTCTTCGTCATTTTAAACAGCCTTCAAGGTAAATGCTAGCGCTGGGGTGAAATTACTCTAATACGTCTACTAGATAATACTGATACTGAACTCGAGCCACATTTTTGTCCAATCAGAAGCGAAACCAAAACCAATCATAGCTATTTTTATTTACTTATTTTATGATTTTTTTTTTTCGAGCATCGCGTCATTTCCTTTGATTTTGCCAGCCTCAAGTGAAGACAGCTCAATCAATGCTGGTGTTAGTATAGGTAATCGTATGAAGGCGAGTGTACCTATGAGTGATATTTGGTACTACAAACAACAGAATGGACTCCATAGTGTCATCGAAGGATCTGGCCTGGTTGTTCAAAAAGTGGATAGCGCTGTCCACCGGATAGATAACTCTATATCCAGTGGATAGCGTGGTTTGTTTTGTTGACACTAAGTACGCTGGACAAAACTGTTGTTGATCGACGTTCAGTACGACAGAAAATTGAAACAAATAATGTGTCACAAATAACTTTAAGATTGTCTTAAACTTTATTAAATTCCACACTTGGAAACTTATTTTTATATGGATCACGAAAGAAGGGCTTGCGTTACACCTTGTCCACATTTGGTAACTGAGTCACAAAAGTACGCATAATTACGTGATTTCTGAGGAAAAAAAAGTCATTTGGAGTGTTGTTTTGCGAAGAAACTCTTCACGTGCTTGTGGATATTTCTGTCAAGATTTTGACAAGAAAGCATGAGAAAGACCTAAAACTGAATAGGCACTGTAATACGATACTGTCTTCAGAAACTGATCTTCTTTGAAGTCTTTACACTGTTCTGGCCCCAAGATCGGTGTCCGCCTGTTTTGAAGATGGCTGCTTTCAGTTCAAGTTCGTACAAGTCACAATTGCCCAAAATACTGCTGTGCTAAGGCGTTGTCAGCCAAAAACCTCAGACACTGCTATTTGTACTTTTAGAAAAGTTTCCAGACCTGTTTCCATACCTTGTTTTTTTGTTGTTTTTTTTTTCATCTGCCAGGAGCTTCCCCTTTTCTCGCATTTTCTTGCATAACAGCTTGAAATAACTTTGTTTGGTTTGCCTTGTGGCCCTTCAGTGGTAGCATCACAACCGTGAATCTTTGATTCTCTAAACCGCCGATGCATTGCCTGATTATAGTGCCGTTCAGATGAATTATCGCTTTGTTCCTCATGCCAAAAAAACAAAAAAACAAACAAAGAAAAACAAAGAAAAAAAAAATCCACAAACACGTAACGATGTTCTTTGCACAACAACTCTGGTCTAACACTGCGATGTCGATGTAAACCATAACTATTTTTTTCTCACAAAACGTGCAATTTTCCGTACTTTTGTGATTCTGTCCGCAAATTTAGATACGCTGTAATGCAAGTCTTTCTCGCATGAACTATATGAAAATAAATTTTCATATGTGGAATTTAATAGGGTTTAAGATCGCTTTGTTTGTCTTTTTTTTTTTTTTTCGTGAAACATCGATCCAGAACAGTTTTGTCTAGCGTACTAATGAATGAATGGATAGGAATGAATATACCCAATAGGTCCTTATTTGTAATTCTTTTACTTGATAGTGTGTTTACTCCAGTAAAACGTTCTTTCAGGATTCTTCATTTTCCTCGCTTTCGTGGCAAACAAAAGAACAATCAACAAACTGAGAGCTGGTTGGATGGCACGATTTCATCGATTGAAAAATCCGGACAAGGCCACTCCCCACTCCAGGAAAACTTACACCACCAAGCTCGCCACAACGGCTTTGTAGTTTATTCGTGACCAATCCATTTTGAACGTTTGTTCATTTAAAACCTTCGAGCGGATAAACCTTAATGTCAGTGACTTTTCCTAAAGTTTAACTGAGAATAACTTGGCATGAACTCGATTAAGGGTCAAGGGTCAAGGTCAACTTTATTTAGGCAGGGTGGCCCAATCAGCACTTGGCTGGTATCAAAAGGGGCCCTGCGTAAATTAAGACTACATTAAATTTCTATACATAGAGATTAACGTTTACAATTATAAAAAATTAAAAATAAAAACT